CCTGGGCAGACGAGACCTCATCTCTACAATAAAATCAAAAAATTAGCCAGGTGTGGTAGCACGCGACTGTAATTCCGGCTACTCTGAAGGCTGAGGTGGGAGGATCGCCGGAGCCCAGCAGGTCGAGGCTGCGGTGGCCGGGAACGGCCACTGCACTCCAGTCTGGGCGACAGAGTGAGTCTCCAACTAAAAAAAAATTTTTAAAAATTAAAAAAATAAAAGAGAACACATGGTGGCAGCAGGAATACCCTGCCCAGAGTCCCTGGCAATGTGGCCACCCTGCCATGTCTGTCCTCGCTGAGGCCCTGACCGCTGTCCTGAGTCAGTTTTCCGGGGGGTCTGAGTACCCCACTCCCCTGCCCATAGGGGCCACGTCAGCCGTGGCCAGGGGCTCCCCCGAGAAGGTGGCGAGCTCAGCCGCTCTGTCGACCACACCCCTTCCTCTGCTGTGTGCCAGCCCGTGCCACTTCTCAGCTCCAGGCAAGGCCGGGGACAAGCCCGTCTGCTTCCCATCGTCCGGGAGTCCCTCCCAGGCACACCCCATCCCCTCCTCCACCTTCCCTGGGGGCCCGGGAGGCCAAGGTCACCTGGGCGCTCCAGCTTTCCTTCCTGGAGTCCTGGGCGCACCGTGCCAGGCCGGGCACCACGGCTGGGAGTCCCAGCCCGCCAGAGGAGGAAGGGCCCTTGGGCCAGCTGGCCACGACAGCTGCAGCTGGCAGGCATGGCCTAAGACTGGATCCAGGCCACCAGCGCCGGGCAGCCTCTCTTCTCTGTCTTCTCTGTCCCTGCAGCCTGAGGGGTGTGGCAGGGCGGGTGGGGGCCCTGCCCGGTCCCCTGTGGGGTGTGTCGCTAAACCGTTAGACTCCCAGGACAAGACTCACTTCCTGTTCCTCCTTCCTCCTGGGTGACGAGGCGCACAACTGTGGCCTCCAGGGTCACGGGCTGCCTCCTGCCCCCTGGGCCTCACAGCTGGGGGGAGGCCCCTGGTCTCTACAATAAATCAGAACATTAGCCGGGTGTGGTGGTGCGCACCTGTAGCCCTGGCTACTTGGGAGGTTGAGGCAGAAGGATCGCCTGGGTGCCCCTGCACCCCAGAGTCAGCCGGCCCCCAGGCCCTGCCTGGGCTTTGATGTCAACACACCCCGGAAGCCAGGCTGGCAACTCCCAGGCGCCGACACGCTCCCTCCCCGGCCTCCTCCAGCCCGCCAGCCTGGGCAGGATCAGACTGGCGCTCTTCCACTTCAGTCTTCACCTGGAGCTGAACTGTCCCCAGAACCTGCTGACACGGACCACTGCCCGTCCCTGCCCCCCGGTGCTTCCACTCCTGCCCAGCCCCATCCGGGCACAGCACCCCTGCACCCAAGGCCGTGTCCACCCGCTTCCTCCAAGCTACCCCCACTCGGAGAGCCGCCCCACAGCTCTTTAATCATCACCCGGGAAGCCGGCCTACTCCGCGTTTGTGTGTTTTTTGAGACAGGAATGCAAGGTCACGCTCACAGCTACCGCAGCCTTGACCTGCCGGGCCCAGGCGATCCTTCGGCCTCAGCCTCCCAAGCAGCTGGGACTACAGGTGTGCATCACCACACCCAGTTAATGTTTGGATTTACTGTAGAGGCGAGGTCTCGCCATGTTGCCCGGGCTGGTCTAGAATTCCTGGGCTAGGCCGAGCTGGGTGGCTCAGCCTGTCATCCCAGCACTTTGGAAGGCCAAGGCAAGTGAGTAGACTGCCTGTGCCCACAGGTTCGAGATCCACCCGGGCAGCTTGGCGAGACCTTGTCTCTACAATAAATCAAAAATTACCCGGGCGTGGTAGCGTGCACCTGCAGTTCCGGCTACTCGGAAGGCTGAGGCGGAAGGATCGCCAGAGCCCAGCAGGTCGAGGCTGCGGTGGCTGGAAGCATGCCACTGCCCTCCAGCCTGAGCTACAGAGTGAGACTCCCACTCAAAAATTAAAATTAAAATTAAAAACAGAATTCCTGAGCTCAGGCAATCCTCTCACCTCCGCCTCCCAAAGTGCTGGGATGACAGGCGTGAGCCACTGCACCTGGCCAACACCGAGCACTTTGGAACGAAAGACGTTAATGCATCCCATCCAATTTTAGTAAGGCGGGCTGGGCGCGGTGGCTCTTACCCATAATTCCAGCACTTTGGGAGGCCCAGGCAGGAAGAACGGGCAACCCTGTCTCTATTAAAATACAAGGGAAAAAAATTAGCTGGACGTGGTGGTGCACGTCTGTAGTCCCAGCTACTCGGGAGGCTGAGGCAGGAGGACCACTTGAGCCCAGGAGTTCAAGACCACAGAGAGCTACGATCACGCTACGGCACTCCAGTTTGGGCGTCGGAAAAGTAAACAGTGAAAAAGAAAAATCCTGGCAAGATCATCTTTGTTTTATTACTCTCCTCCAAATACTAGCGGCAAACCAGAAGAGGCCACCGTGGCAGCCACCTCCCAGTGCCTCCAACACGCTGGGGACAAGTTCCCTCTGTCCACGGGGTCTGGCACTGTCGTGGGAACCGTGGACATTTCTGTTTGCACTGAAAGCACCGAGGTCACTTCTGGGAAGCTGGCGTGGAGGCCAGCCCCCCCGGCTCCCGCCTCGGCCCCCCACAGACACAACCCCCGAAAGGCTGAGCTGGGGGACGTGGCCCTCCCAGAGCCCGGCAGAGGCGACCCCGGGCAGATCTCCCTGCCTGGCGTGCACCGGGTGCCCAC